AGGTGCTCTTGGATCATTTCTTCTGGAGTTCCAAGACAGGGGAGGGAAGAGAGGAAGGGAGTGAAGGAAAATGAAAGTGGGAAACAGCCACAGAAGCCAGTACTCTTTAGAGCAGCTAAGAAAATGAGTCTGTCTTTGCTCCATTTGTCTCCCCCATTACTAAGCAAGAGCCATGGGGAGAAATGGCACCCTTACCAGCAGCACAGCAAAGTAAGTGAGGTGGTTACACTGGCACAGGACCATGTGCCTTTCATGGATGGTCTTGCAGCCTTCTCTGCTCCAGGTCCCCTGGCTGTCACTCTCTGCAAGAGGGAGAAATGATTAAAAAAAAAAACAAAAACAGCCGGTGGCCACAGAGCAACACGACCAGCCCTGTAAAAGGCCATAAGCAACATAGTGCAAAGCATTTAAGTGATTTAGGAACCCAAGTCACAATGATTTTCAATAAGATTTCAGTGTCTTTCCAAATGTAGCTTCATATTTTGCTCCTGTGGCATTGGGAGTGTGAACAGAAGAGCCAGCCAGCCCTGGGATGTGGGGTAAGTTGGGACACAGGGTCAGGGCTTGGGTCAAGGCTAAAGCAGGACCAGGATCTGTGTTTGTTGGTGCTGAATCATTGAGAGCTGTTCTCAAAGTGTGAAGAGGAACGTCTGGATAAAGCTGACAGAAGAAAACATGCCCAAGCTAGCTCCTCAGTCCTGCTCAGGCAGGATATCCTGCACCTCCATCCTGTCAGATCCGGCTGTGAGCATTGCCAAGCCCTGGAAGCTTCTGTACTGAGGGACCCTGCCAGGAAGCAAAACTTTAAGTGGAGATTGCTTTCCTGAGTGTGCAGAGGCTGCCAATGCCCTGATTGGCTGTGTGCAGGGTGCCTTGCCTGTTCTGGTGCCAGATCTGCACCCCTGTCATATGTGATAAGGGGTATAGGATTTTGGCCACCAGTTTTAGGTGTTTGGGTTGACCGCTAGGTAGCCCTAGGAGCTGCAGGGTCCTGGCCAAAGTGGAGTGTGCTGGGGACTCTCCATAGATAGTAATGTGGAGAGGGAGGGGACATGGGGGACTTGATGTACTTGTCACTGTCAGAAGGCCTATCTTTCAGGGCTAGAGGGGTGACCATAGTGGGCTAATGGGCAGGGGAGGCCATAGCATGAATCTTGGTAATTCTCAGCTGCATATGTTCTCCCTACATTTATCCAGGTTTCTGAGGCAGCACAGTCTCCACTGACTTGAACTTTTTCCTTGTTACTCTCCCTATTCTGGCAGGTGGCACCGTGAGGGTCAAGGATGCTTTAACAGAGCTAGGGGGTGGCCCACGATAGTTGTAATTACCTGCTTCTTCCAACCAAAAGACACAGGTTGCAGTGGAGTTGTCCTGATGGGAGAAGGAAAACAGGAGACACATGAAATGGTAGCTCTTTCTGAGAGCATAAAGCACACCAAGTTTCAAGAAGATAGGTGCAGGGGGTTTGGAGAAACTGCACCCCAAAATCTTGAGAGCCAAACTTGTGTCATGTGTATGTGTTAAGCCACAGAACGGGCAAAACTATAGGAATGCTAGCCCCTGCTGAGGCCACAAAGCCTGCTATGTTTCAAGGAGATAGGTGCAGGGGGTTTGGAGAAACTGCACCCCAAATTTCTGAAAGCAAAACTCATGTCACATGTATGTGTTAAGCCACAGTGAGGTCAAAACTGCAGGCATGATAGCCCCTGCAGAGGCCACAAAGCCTGCTAAGTTTCAAGGAGATAGGTGCAGGGTGTTTGGAGAAACTGTACCCCAAAATCCTGAAAGAAAAACTCATATCAAGTGTATGTGTTAAACCACAGCAGGGTCAAAACTGCAGGCGTGCTAGCCCCTGCTGACGCCACAAAGCCTGCCAAGTTTCAAGGAGATAGGTGCAGGGATTTGGGGGAAACTTCACCTCAAGCTGAGGACAAACAAAACTCATGACATGGGTGACACTGTGTGTTAAGGTGCAGCAGGGTGAAAGCTGCAGGCCTGCTAGCCCCTGCTGCAGCCACAAAGCCTGCCAGCTGTCAAGGAGATCGGTGCAGGGGGGTTCTGGGGCCCTGCACCCCTAGCTGCTGACAGGCAAAACTTATGACATGGGCGCTTGTGCAACTGACTGTGTCTCTCTTGGGGCAGTTGATTGTATTCATTATTGCCTCTCCTTAGCCTGTGGTTTTGTAGGCATTAATCCATGCTCGTTAAGTCGTTATGTAGTAGCTAGGTCCTGTGTATTGAGCTGGTCCCTGAGTGAATCATGATTAATTGGTAACTGGTAACACAGTAGCTTAGCAGCCAGGCCTGCAGTTTCTCCCAACCCCCTATACCTATCTCCTTGAAATGTGGCAGGCTGTGTTGCCACAGCAGGGGCTAGCATCCCTGCAGCTAGCACCCCTGAAGTTTTGACCCCATTGTGGCTTCACACATACACATGATATGAGTTTTGCTCTCAAGATTTTGGGGTGCAGTTTCTCCGAACCTCCTGCACCTATCTTCTTGAAATTTGGCATGTATCATGCCCTCAGAAGGGGCTACCATTCCTACAAGTTCCATATACATCTGGCCAGAAATGACAAAGTTATAGCCTGTTTTGACCTTCCCCATTATATCCTATGGGCAAAATGTCGAAACAGGGTCGAAACGGCAAAACGTTTCAACGAAACAAAACAAAACAGCCATGTTAGCTCGAAACAAAAGTCAAAACAAAACACTGTTCTGTTGAAATGTCAAATCGCTGGTTGAAACTAAACACTTCTGTTTTGCACAGCCCTAATGGTGAGAGGGGTGTGCTCCCTTCATTCCCTGTGACAAGTGAAACTTGGTCTCATGAGGGAAAAGTCTTGCTATGGGGGATCACACTGTCCATCACCCCAAGATGGGCAGCATTGTCCTCCGTAGCAGATGCCTCGCAATTCTGCCCAGGCCAGTACTGACTGGAGCTTGTGATGAGGCGGCCTTCCTTAGGCGGCTCCCATAATGTACCAAGGCAATATTGGATATTCAGCCCACTCAGCCTATTTCATCCATTACTCCTGCCTGCTGCTATGCATTGGAGCACCCTATACCTTTTCCTTCTTTCCTTGATCATGCTCAGATTTCCAGCTGGCATAAATGAATATAGCTTCCATAAAGCAGATATACAACAGCCTGGTGATCCAGCCCTCCATTCTTATCAGTTATTCTACAGCTTATTAGTTATTGTTTGGTTAACAGACATCCTTTTGTTCTTTGCGTTCTTTCCCTCAGTTTCAGTCCCTCTCTCCCAAAATCAGCTACAGGTTTCCCTCACTTTATGCTGTACATGCATTCCTGGAAAACAGCACATAACTCAATTTTGCATAAAGGGAACCCACTTTACAATGTAACAAATAGAGATACATTCCAAAATCTCGACTGTACTGACCCCCAAACCCACTTCTACCACTTTTACAAGACAATTTTGGTACTCACCAACAGCAGACAGTACACACAAGCACAGGGTGGTGGTGAATGTTACCATAATGGAGATGGCAACTACAGAAACACGTGTTGCAGATAATAAGCGAGGAGCACAAATCCATACAGGAGACTATATTTTGGTGCACGTCACTCCCGCAATGCAGCGCACAAAGCAGCTGACTGGGCTTCCACCACACTGATTGCACAAGAGTGAATTTACCTTGTATATAATGATTTTTTGGTATGAAAAGGGTCATTGCATAAGAACCAATTTACACATACATAAAGCAAGGGAAACCTGTACACTGGTTCTTTCAGAAGTGCCTGCAGGAAGATGGAAGAGAGCACACAGTACTGAGCAGGACTTAAATGTCAAATGGATTCTTTATAGGGCCACACAATTTGTTTACCTTGCCCTATACTGACTTGGCTGGCATTCTCTTCACCCAAGGGCTACCACATTTTCCCCAGTCTCGACAAAGACAGTAGACACAGGGGCTGGCCCTCAGAGTCTCAACAACCCCTTTTCTCAGATAGGAATTGGCAGGAGGCAATGAGGTGTACTGGGTTTGCACAAAGAACCTAGCTGTGTTCCAGGGACTGTCCCTGCTGCGGCTCTACCCAGGTCCATGCAGACTCTGTTCCCACCCTGCACACACCCTTCCCTCCTGGGTTCAGGGGGAGGTCATTTTCCAAGAACTGTTCCCTGAAGCAGGAGCTTCTGTTCTCTGGTACATCTTATTCTGCTAGAATTTATCTGAGGGGCTCCTCAGCAGTGTGCAGGGCATGTCTGCCACATCCCTTCATTGCAAGAGGAACACAGTTCCTTTGCTGTGCCCCGGCAGTACTACCACGTGGTACAGAGTGAAGGAGACTTAGCTGTCAGCCTGACTTTTCTCATCCTCTGGCAGGCAACTCCACCAGGGGAGACCACTAGGAGAGCGCAGGGGATGACAGTTACCTTTGAGACTCCCTCTTTATGCTTCACTGTCACCTTTGCATGGATAGCCAGACACTGGCCAGAGTCTTCCCCAAAAGCAGCAGACTGGAATCACACTGAATCTGAGTGATTGCTGTGACAAGTTCATGAGATACTAACTTCACTGGTGTCCTTTTTCTCCCTCCATCATTCTGGAGACCTGTTTTACTTCACTTGCCCCAAGACAGATGGCTGCTGGTAGCTGCCCCTGCACCCGTATACATACACCCGCTTGAGCCCTCTAAAGCCACACCAGGTCCCTTACCAGCACACGGTCATGCCAGAAGCGCATCTCCACAGGGTGGCTGAGGTTCCTTACAGAGGTATTTCTTAGAGTAGCCCCTAAGATGTAGTTGTTTAGCAGTGTGTTGTTATTTTCATCCTGCAAAGCCAGAGGAGAGATGTGACCAGGACAGTATCAGGGACAGAGAAGGCAATGGGACAGGAACCTTTCCTCTGAAGGTTGCTGCTCTAAATGCCCCATTGGCTGGCCGTGACCAAATTTGCTCCTATCTGTGGGCAATCTGGTGGCCTGTGTAAAATGACCAGAGTGATTTCAGTTCACTTTTCACTAGGCAGATGCCCACAATGAAAACCACCACCACCGTGCTCCTGAGACTGAACGGCCATAAGGACTGAGCTATCCTGTCACTGCTGGGCATAACCATGAGGCATGGTGGTGGGCAGCAAAGAGCATCTCACACTGCTACTGCCCATGTTACACTTATTCTGTGGGCAGGGCACTCTCTGGGGCTCTCAATCCAGCACTGTTCACTAGCCCTAGATACTTATGCACTATGGGTGCTTGTACTGTGGACACCTACAGATAGTGTATTAGGTCTGACTAGACAGACAGATTATTTAGAGACCCCTTCTCTCCCTTCCAGTGTGAAGCTCTGTAGGAAGCTATTCACTTAACATTCAAAAGGTTGGAGGAGGCCTGGCTGTGTGCTGCAGTCAAGCTGATAAACCCAGCTGGCATTTCTTGCTGTAGCTTGGCTGCAAGCTGGCCACGTCTTTACAAATTCCTAGGGCTTTCATTGCAAGAGGAGGTATGTTAGCCTGGGGTACCTAGGCTGGATACAATATACCTCATACCCTGGCTCTGTCTGAATTCCTATAAACTTCCAGTTCTACTAGGTTCCCTTCCAGTTCCTCTCTGTAAACCAGCAGTGTTGCTGTGTGCTGTGACACAGCTGCCATGCTGTGCCTGAACTTGCCTGCATCTTAGTGCAGTGACCCATGTGCATGCTCTGCTGAACTGGTCTGCCAAGATCTCTGAATGAAAGGGGCTATGTACATGCAAACTGTCTTTCCCCCCCACCTGCCCCACCCTCTGTTAAAACCTCAGAGCATTTCTCACCTGGAAGGCACAAGAGGTATTGATGTAAATACAGACGAATCTGTGCTCTTCAGTCCTTTGCCGGACTCCCTCCAACAGCACAGGTGGGAAACTCATGGCATGTCCTTTCTTCTTGGATGAGGATATCTGCTTAGAGTGCTGATGGGGGGAAATGTTTGTCCACTGCATCCAACAAAAATAGGGTTAGTGTTTAAAAACCAGGAAAAGACAATAGCTGAAGTAGGGGGAGCAGGTTGCTATGATGAAACTTGATCGTTGTGGTGCCTTGCAAACCCTTCAACCCAACATGCATTTCAGTACACTGTTCACTAGATAATAACTGAGGAAGGGAGAAGTGAAGCAACCAAAGGATAAAAATAGGGGTGCTCAGCTGAGATTTAACAGTAGCTGGAGGGACAGAAATATTCTCTTATTTACCTGACCCTATCTGGACCACTAAATAAACAAACTCCGAGCAGTTGAGCTAGAGGATTAAGCTGGTAGAAAGATGCCAAAATAAACCTCTTATATGGACCAGCCAGCAGAGGAGGCCAAAGACCATCATTCCCTTTGGTGTCTTTTCTATGCCTGTGCGTTGCTCACCACAGTGGCAGCTTGTTCCTGTCTGCTGCTTTTGGAGTCTTATCTGCAATAGATGATTGAGTATAATAACAGGATATGCAGAGCACAAAGTGGCAAAGATGTATATAGAAATGGAGTGGAGGCCAGTGTTAGATAAGCTGAAGGAACAAGAAATGAAGGGTGCTTCTAGATGTAATCGAAGAAGGAAGGAGAGGGGTTACGTTTTAATTAGAGCTGTTCCCAGAGAGCCACTCTAATTAAAATGCCTCACCGTCATGTATTTTAAGTGTCCCACATTTCAAAATGGCAGTGGGGGTGTTTTAACTAAAGCTCATTTGATGAGTTTTAGTTAAAGCTCCCCTGCAGCTATTTTGAAATGCAGGACACTTAATACACATGATGGTGAGACATGCTGGCGCATTGTAACTAGAATGCTCCAGCAGGCTCAATTAATTGAGTCTGCTTCAACGCATTCTAATTAGAACACACTGGAGAACGTCTATAGGCACCCAAAGAGAAATAAGATAGGGTTGCAACAGGTCAGCTACCAGGATACCAAGGTGATAAATGTAGCATAAATGCCCAGCTGCAAACTATGATCTTGCTGAGGGCTTTTGGGGAAATACTATCCAGGAATCAAGATTAGGTTAAAAGAGGGAATAGTTTAAAAAGTGGGGAAAGGAAATCAGGAGACCTCAGATTTCCTACTCCTCTGTGGTTAGCTTAAGACAGTGGTTCTCAACCTTTTTAGACTTGAGGCAGTGCTCAGAAAATGCCAGCTGATAGCTTTCACTTGTTTTATGGCCGTGCGTAGATGAAACAGGCTCCCTAAATTGAAGCAGTGGGATTTTTAGAACAGCACTTCAATTTAGGGTGAAGTAAACCCCCGTTGCTTGAACACACCCATGCACTTACCTGGCTCTCTGGTGGCGTGGAGGGGAGGGTGAGCTGCCGGCGGGTGGAACGGGGGGGGGTCTGCTTTTTCCCTCCATGGCAGCAGTGGCCCCCCCACAGGCGGCACCTGCCCACAGGCACCCACCTTGGGCGGTGCTGGGGGGCACTGCAGCCACGGAGGGAAGCACCAGGCCCCTGCGCAGCTCAGGCAGGCAGGCAGGCTCCACTGTCAGGCAGGCAGGCTTTGTGCTGGTACCAGGCTGCCTGCAGAACTTCCTGCAGAGACGTGGGGCTGCACAGTGCTTCGCTTTGCAGCTGTAGGAGTTTTAGTTTGCTGTGCCCCAAGTCATTTAAGGCTCATTACACCACCAAATTTGCTACAGTGGCTAGAAGTACTGCACAATACACTGCGGACGCATGTAAACACCAACACCATTAAACTGGTGCAAAAGCATTTAACCCACTTTAAAGTGTTATGCACACGTGCCCCTCATTTAATCTACACACGACCTTTGACTACAGAAAAATACTAGAGCAATTCCTATTGCAAAGAACTCAGAAAGACCACAGCAGGTCCTAATGTTTTTAACGCCATGAATTCCTATTTGAAATCTCTGGGTTTATCACTTGAACTATATTTCCACACCTAACAGTGCTAATATTGTGTGGCAACCTTTGACGTCCTTGAAAGGATCTCAAGGCACCCCACAGCACTCTGGTGGAGAATAACTAACTGGTTTAGGATTTAATTTGATGACAGTGCACATTTGACTAGGAATGTGACTGAGGCTGATAATTTTCTCAGTCACCTAATAGCAAAAGTATTAGAAAGGATGGAGGCAGCCTGCTCAGTTTCCTTGATTCACACCTTTATTTACAGAAGCTTTAGAGCTATCTGAAGTTTTCAGCTGCACCAAATGTATGAAGACAGAAGCAGTTTGCTGGACTCTTTGATGTAATGGCTTGCTTTAGAGATGAGGCCCAGTTTGAAGGTTTGGTTATGCACCTTAACATAGTGCAGTCTGGATAAGAGGGTTTACTTCAGATCAGTCACTGCATTAAGGCTTGTACCAAGATCTTGGCAAGCAGCCAATGATTCCAGGTGTCTTGATGCTTAGAGACCTTACTGTAAACACCTTAAAAGGGCCTGATTTACAGAAGATTTGCACACCTGCCCTCTTCAGCATTGTCTCAAATTGGGCCCCTGGAAAGTTGAGGAACTTAAAATCACCACTCACTTTTCTTACTAGTAGAATTGTAAAAAAATACCAGCACGTTCACTTTGCACATGCTTGATGCTTCCTTATGCTTGGGTTCACGGACAGACCTAGGATTTTGAAAGAAGGGGTGGAGGGCATCAGCAGTACAACACCGCACACATTTTTCTCTAGCTAAAAAGAAACTAGAAGTTTCACTATTAAGTAGGAGCTTAGAGCTATATTATTCAGTTTAAGAGTAAAGAAAAAAATATTGGAATGTGCATTAATTTACTATATCACATAAAACACAACAAACTAGTCAAAAATAATCCAAAGAAGTTGTTTTATTAGTCCTGGAATCATTATAGTTAAATATAGGTCTATTTTTCAGGATCATAAAACAAAATCAAGTCTTCCTGAGCATCTGGACAGTGCCTCCAATGCTACATGGAAAGTGATTTCCACACCTGAGCTAAAGTTCACCTGACTTAATATTTCCACACCTGGGTTAATGTTTTTAGCTACAGTTAAAAAACAGTCTGCAGGGCTATGAAATGGGAGCTACATTACTAGAAGCAACTAACAGACAGCTGCACTGCAGAAGCACAGCAGCACTTCCTGCCTCTGGGGCAGGGGGCTGGACTTGATGATCTTCCAGGTCCCTTCCAGCCTAACATCTATGAAATCTATGCAGTAATCTTCAGCTATTAAGGATAGCTGAAGAAGTGGAACCATTAAGGACAATTTAAAAGAAAATAGGGTTGTTAACACCTATAGAATGAAGGGTTTACAAGGAAACAAGTAAATTATAATGAGCTATTAAGTCAATTGACTCCCTCAGTGTTGCCTGACTAGAAGCGGTGCTGCCACTGCTAGGCAGTTGGCCTTAAACTTTGGATGGACCAGGAATCAAAGGGAGATGCACCTCCAGTGCGCTCCCTGCCCTGCCCCCCCCCCCCCCCCCCCCCCCCCCCCAAATCCATCTCTGCTTGGGTTTGATTCCTGTGGTTCAGGGGTGGGCAAAATAAGGCACATTGGCCAGATCTGGCCCACTGAGAGATTTTGTCCAGTCCATGGTGGATCCCTTGGTTCCTAGGTCCAGGGGATGGGTCAGAGTGGGGGCGCAGCCCAAGCTGTGCTGCATGCAGCTGGTCCTGCCACTCCTGTGTGCACAGTGAGGCTGGGGGAGTGTGGTGGCTGGACTCTATTTCCTGGTAGCCCCACCAGCAGTAGCTCCTTCCAGCTCGCAGACCCAGCCCCACTGCCTGGGCACCCCAGCCTGTCTGCTCCACACCCACCTCTAGAGGCTGGGCCCTTGCGGGCAGAGCGCTTGGCTGGAATGGAGCTGTGGAAGGGCAGGGAGCAACATCCAGAAGCGAGATGGGTGGGCAAGACCAGGGATCTTGGGGCAGTGATGGCACAGGGCTGGGGCCCAGGACAGGGACAGAGCTCTAATCTGTTGCCTGCATGCCCATGGAGACTGGTTGGGATCTGCATGGGCAGGGCGTATGGCTGGGCAGTTGGCATGGGGCTGGAGGTGGGCAAGGAACTGCATCCAGGGCTGGGGCTGGGGCTGAGGCCGGGATCTTGGGATGGTGACAGCACAGAGTTGGGGCCACAATCTACTCCCCACATGTCCCTGCCTGCAGAACCAGCACCCGTCACAGGGACATGCAGGTAGCATATCATGACTCTACCTTGGGCCCCAGCCCCACGCTGTCACCTCACCATGACCCTGCCCTGTGATCCCAGCCTTGTCCACCTGTCCCACTCCTGAACACCGCTCCCCACCCCCCCTGTGCCCCCATCCCACATAGGGAGTTTTGGTGAGTTCATAGGTGACTGGTAGGGGGAAAATGCAGGGGGGGGGGGAATGGGCCCCCCCCCCCCCCCCCCCCCCGCGGGTGACTTGGCACCACTCTGGATGGGGCTTTTTTTTTGCCACGCAGGCCGGTGGCATGGGGTGGGGGGCAGTTGTACTAAGCTACTACACAGAAATATAGGAGTGGATATGGGGTTTTTGACCCACACAAAAATTGTGCCCCCCCCAGACTCAGGAGGCACCAGTCACCCCTGGGTGAGTTGTTGCATGGAGGGAGGGGTTGGAGATGCTGACCTGTCCCACAACAGCTCAGCAAAACTTCCTATGAGGCCTGCAGGCCCAAATAATTGCCCACCTTCGCCATGGATTCACTTTACCCTACCCTCTGGTAAGCTTGATCTTCACCTGAAGAACTGGGACACAAAAGGCTAAGGGCCAATTCACAAAGATATTACCGTGTGCAACACCCATTATATTCAACAGGAATTAAGCACATAAACACGTTTGTGGAGCTAGACCAACAGAACTTGCTAGGGTAATACAGTACCCATGTGGTGGAGCAGGGACTTCAACACAGGTCTTTCAAGCCAGTGCCCTAACCCCTAGACCAACCTTCCTCTCTAGGCTCTTAGAGTTGTGTAATCTGTCTTCTTCTGCTTTTCCTCAGTTAATTGGCGGTTGAAAGTCTATCTTTTGCTCTTTGTGTAGGGGAACTGAGTGGCAGACACATCCAGATGAGAAGTTTGCACAGGTATAACACATTTTTTCTCTAGTTGTATACACTGAGGACGAGCTGCTGGCCAGACACCACCAGGCTGTGTATATCTGAGAAAGCTTGGGAAGGGCACTTTGCTGCACTGCTTGGGTAACTCCCTGAGGAGTCTACTATCCCTGCCCCGGCCCCTATGCTGATCTGCAGTGGATATAGATCTGTTATAGGTGTGCTGTGGGACACATTGCTCAAGAGGTGGCAGTTCATGCTTTTGGCTTTGATGAGCCCCAGTTCCATTCCTTAGGATGGAGATCAGCAAACCTTCTTGCAATAATAATGCAAAGACTCTTTCAGACAAAGGGCTGCTTTACAGGGTAAACAAATTTGAGCCAAAATGTTATTAGACTGTCAATACTGGAAACCCCCAGGGCAGTCGATGCAGGGGCTAGCATTAAGGAAATTCCTAGACTCTTTCATGGCCATGTAAGTGAATTTAAGTGCCTGCTGCACTTGTAATTCAATCAAGGGGGATAAAGCCAAAATCTCTCCCTCATTGCCTCTGCCCCCAGTGAAAGTTCTTCCTTGCATCAAACTGTGAGCACATCACACTCCTGGCATACTGAACACGCAGCAAGGCACAAAGTAGTCATGATAGACAATGAAGCATGAGACCCCAATTTGCCAATGGAGACAGAAATGATAGGAGAACAGTACTGAACAGAGAGGACCATACTGTGAAGGCAGGAGCAAGGGGTTTGGGATGTGAGAAGAAGTGGAATGTCTCAGATCCCAAAGCATCTCTGCTGGGTGGCTGGGGAGACACCTGAGAGTTGCCTGAGAAAAATCCAAGGACCAACGACTGTCGGGTATACGGGGAAACATGCTAAGTTGAGAATTTACCAGATAAAAGGGAGGGAGAGGGTTGCTGGGAGAGGAAATAGTGAAAAAGCTGCTGGAAACTGTTGGCTGTCTCTCACATTGGCTTGTGTTTACCTCTGTAGAGATAAGCGGCTTGATCCATAGCAGCATGGGAATGGAGGCTTGGCATTGGTTTTCTACCTTGTCACACTGACAGGAGTGATGAGGAACAGAGGGTGGTAAATGAAAATTTCTAAGTTTCTAGGCACCAAGTTATTTTATAGTGCTGTATACACTGATTGACATAAGAGAGAACATTATTAAGTATTAGGGACACAAGAGACAAGAGCATGACCCATTTTGCACAACACTTAGTACAGGCCTAGCACTGGTGTTTGCTTTTCCCAGTATTTTTTTTTTAAATTCTCAGGGATTCATCAGGGCAACAAAACACAATAATTTGGAAGGAAATCCTGACCCTATTAAAGCCAATGGCAAAAATCTTATTGATTTAAGTAGGACTAGATTGCAACCCTGGTGTGCTCACTTACCAACTGGACAAAGACTGTGATAAAAACAGATCTGTCTTGATTTTGATCATATAAATGGCTCTCCAAGGCAACAATGCCAGTAGAGAAAACACCTCTATTGGTGTGAATTGTTGCAGTTCCACTTCTTTCTCAATGAAAAATCATTCAATGAAGTCAATGGATGAGAATCTGCCCTACGAACTCCACATTGCTTAGATTCATATAGAAATTAGGAGACACCAAACCTTAATTTAGACAACAGTCTGTGACCCTTCCTTACAGCTTCATGCAGGGTCATAAGGCTGCATGCCTTTGTCAGCTTCAGACTGAATTAATACAGTGATACTCATGGTTCCACTCAGCCACTTCCCCTAAGGCAATACAGTCCACACAACTAGTGCAAAATAGTCCACATCACCTAGTGCAGGAACACATTACAGATATGATTTCATAGACTGAAACTCATATCCAGATGCAAGTCCAGAGGAAGTTTTGAATATATACCATATTTTCATCAAGAAGCCCTTTATTCTGGAATGCCTTCTCCCCTTGGCCCAGCAGAATGAGAATGTGAACATCAGGGTATTTTGCAATGTCCTCTCTTACCAGGTGTTTTTTGCTAGGGCAACCTGAATGAATGGGGGCAAGTATTAACAGACTCCTACTCTGGGTGACTTGAAAAGGCTTTTATTGTGGGTTCTAGCCCATGGATGTGGTGGTAGAGTGGTTAAGGTGCTTTGCTGTGGCACCAGCAGTTTGAGATTGAGTCCAGCTCTGAACTTGTGCCGAAGCCTGCCCTGTACAGATCTACCCCCAAGCAGGTATCTGGTCTTTTAAGTTGAGGAGTCAGGAGCAGCCAGATATGATGCTAGTCATCTTCCTCTCTTGTGTGCCATTGGCTGAAGAGGGTGATGTGTCTTGACTGTGCTATCCCAATGGGCTGCTAGTTTTGGGAGGACCTAGGGTTTCTGTTTCATTTTGTCTTGTCTACTTTATACTTTAGATGGGCCTTGTCGGTACCATGCATGTGCCCAGAGCAAAAGGTGGCGTGTTTAGGAACACAATATAATAAGCCACATAAAACAGGAACTCTAGTTAGTGTGTGGGAACTACCAAGGCATTGCCTTCCTCTCTGTTGCCGGGAAGATTCTTACTCACATCTTTCTGAATCTCCTCCTCCCCTTTGCCGAAGATGTACTTCCAGAATCCCAGTGTAGCTTTAGACCATCTCGGGGTAATACCAACATGATTTTTGTTGCACGACAGATCCAGAAAAAAGTGTAAAGAGCAACACCAGGAGCCGTTTATGGCATTCACTGACCTAACCAAGGCCTTCGACTCCATCAGTCATGAAGCCTTATGGAAGGTGCTGGCTAGGTTTGGTTGTCCACTGAAGTTCAGTGTCTGCAGGCTACTCCATGATGGGATGACTGCCAGAGTGGCTCTTTCAAATATTTGATGTTGGGCCTCCACAATAAAACACTCAAAACCTTAGCCTGGATCTCAGCTCAGCCTCTAATGCACAGCCTTGTTCAGGGGAGGAGCTTAAGGTATAAAAGAAAGAGCCACTTTGAATTCTTCCCCCCAGCAAAAGTTGAGCCTCTGTGTTCCGGCTTTGCTGTTTGTGTGCAGCCCATGTGTTCAGGTTGCTTCAAAATAGGGGTTGTCCTGATCTATAAGGAGCATCTCCATCACCAGGGAAGCCAGCTGGTACACTAAACTAATCTGGCCCTGATGGGGTATCACTCATTTGCAGAGCTTACAAGAGCTTCACATCCAAACAAGAGGGGAAAGGAAGCCCAGTGGGGGTGGGACTACAGGCCCGAGTCCCATGGAAATGAAAGCTAGCATTGGCATTCAGTCCCCGTGGAATATGGTCAAGATGAGAGCCTTTGTGATGGGAAGAACTGTGAAATGGCAAGGACTGTGGCATCTAGTACAAAACGAGATATGAAGCTGATACTGACCTTTTGTTCATCACTGCTGAGAGAAAACCCTGAGAAATTCCTGGACTTGATACTGAATACAAATGTCTGGATGGTGGGTGCCATGTAAGTGAAGTTCCCCTTGGAAAACCTGGCTCGCAGCAACAGATTTTCTAGTATTTTTATGCTGTAATAGAGAAAGGAAAATGTATGCTCAGAAGGGCAAATAGCAAAATAGGGCTTGGCCTCCCAAGGGGAACTGAGGGAGGGAAGAAGGAACAGTGAAGCGATACCGTGTGCATTTCCAATGCACAGGCTGCAGAGCTGGCAAGAAGTGATCATTGCTTGGGCTCCTTAAGCGGTAATTCCTCCTTGCTTAAGCCTGCCCCTAACACCATTAACTTCTGAGCATTGTTTCTGAACGCTCTTCAGACCTTCAGAAAGTGGTGTCTGCCCAGTGAATCCTGCCTTCAAGCCAGGGAGCACAGCTTGGGCAGTGAGTCACCAGCTCAGGGCGTCCCTGGGCAGCTCCAAGGAAAGTCTTCAGATAGGAGGCAAAATACTTGCCCCAAGCTTTGGAAAAATATGAGTTTTTTCATCTCTCTAGGCCTCAGAGGTGTATTACGGTGTACTGGGGCTCTGGGCAAGCAAAAAATTGGAGGCCCCCTCCCCCATGGGGCTGGGCTGGGGGGCGGGGGGCAGAGGGAGAGGGGCCCTTTCCCCTCCTCATGCTGGCGGGAGAGACTGGGTGGACCCTGCCAGGCTGTGGGGGGGACGGGACAACATGCCCACCTCTTCTCCCTGTTCACTGCCCCCACTACAGTCAAATGTACACACACATGGCAGACAAGGTTCTTTGGGTAAATCTGATATCTTTTATTAGACCAACTAAATAGTTGGAAAAAATTTTCTTAGCAAGCTTTGCGTTTAAAAACCCTTCGTCAGGCTGAGGAAGCATCTGCAGTTGGTGCGTGCTCTTCCTGGATGGAATGAATAGTAAAGAAGCCAGAGGCTGGTATGCCTGCAGGAAAGCCAGTCAGTGAAAATGTAAATTGAGGAGTCAGTGTGTTTCGTCGAACGAATCCTTAAACCACTTGTCACCCAAAGAGTGAGTTTTGTCCAAGATACTACAGACTTTCTTTGAAAACTTAAAAATGTAGACCGCCTTCCCAGCAATATCCTCCTAGCCACCAAGGATGTTACCAGCTTATATACCAAAATCCCACACCAGGACAGCATCCAAGCCTGCCTTAAATACCTACAGGAGCAAGATGATAACTCTGAGTACAGACCCAAAGATACTACTGATCTTATATACTTCATCCTCACACACAATTTCACTTTTAAGTGAATTCCTTGAAGACTGCGCCATTAAATCTTTGCTATACTGAAGATATATCAATGACATCTTTATCATTTAGACTGAAAACCTGCAATCTGATTGAGTTCCATCAGAAATTCAACAATCATCACCCCTCCATCCAGCCATCTCTTGAGTACTCCAGCACCAATATCTCCTTTTTAGATATAATGATCAGCATCCAGAATAGTAAAATACAGACCACATTATACAAGAAACGCACAAACCAACACACATCTGCACGGAAGCAGAAATCACCCTAAACACACTGAGAAAGCTGCGATATACAGCCAAGCCCTCAGATACCACTGAATTTGCACTGAGGAGAACACCCAGGATCGTCACCTCACAAATCTTAAGACAGCTTTCACGCAACAAAGACACTCCTCCAGAGAGATAGATCACACATTTGAAAGAGCCACCTGGATACCACATGAAGAACTGCTGCAGTACAGAAGGAAAACCCTCACAAATTGCAGACCACTGGTTATGACATATCACCCCTCCCCAGAACCTATATGGAAAATCCTCAAAACAACTGCAACCCATACTAGAAGGAGACCCAATTCTTAAGGAGATCTTCCCAGAGCCACTCATCCTAGCCTTTAAACAAGCACCGAACCTCACTAACCTCATCACCAGAAGAAAACTTACAACAGCTCAAAACACACCAAATGGATCCAGACCATGCCAGGACAAGAAATGCAAAACCTGCTGTCATGGCGCAGGGTCCTGCGGGCTTGGCCGTGATCTCCCCAAGGCCCCCTTCCTGTGCCAAGTTGGCCCAAAGGGCACCCTCACGTCTCTCCCGCCATGTCTTTGATGGAGAATAAATATATGGGAGGCTGCCTTATGGCCTCTTGGACACGGTTTGTTGTAATATCTGACCCCGTGGACTCCTGGATCCCTTGTGGGTCCTGCTCTGTAATGGGTGCTTCAGGGGCACCCTAGCCTTATGGGCTATGCGTGGCTCCAACCATCCTTTTACCACACCCCAAGCCTTGCAGCTGGAGTTGACATTGTTCAGTCAGGACCTTGTTATAATCTGGCCCCCTTGTCCTCTCTGGGCCCCACGCAGCCCTGTCTTGCTCTGCCCCCTCCTCTGGGGCTTTCCAACATGCTGCCCCCTCCTCTGGGGCTCACCACACCCACACTGGGGCTTCTCATCAATGTCCTCTCTCTGGGGCTTCTCAAGTGCCCCCTTTCTGGGGCTGGGGTCAGTGCACCCCAAATACTGCGCCCTCGCTGGCACTGGGGTCCCCTATGAGGCCTCCTCCAACCACTAACAGCCTCACCCAAAGCACCGGTCTTTAAGCAGCAACAAAACACAAGCCCCTGGGCTGTAACATAGATTAAAGCCACCCAGCTAAAACCTCATTCCAGCCTACCGGGGAATACTCCATCCCTCAGCAGTCAGATGCTGCTCCTGCAGTCAGGCTTCCCCCCTCTTCCCTGAGAGAGCTCCTTTTCAAACCCAAACCTGGCTAAGAAAATTTTTTCTAACTATTTAAAATAAATAATAAAAGATATGAGATTTACACAAAGAACCTTGTCTGCCCATGTCCTTAGACCAACATGGCTACAACCTACACCTCCCACATATACATGCACACACACAGGTGTGCAGAAACGGGTGCATGCACTCTACTCTCACTCTCTGCACATGGACACAGACCCACACACACAGACCGCCCCCCACACACCCATAAATGCACAGACCCACAGACAGACAGACCCACACACACACACAGAACCACACACACAGACACAAACAGCCCTCTGCCCTATCCCCCCCACCCCTCAGCTGCCCATGGCTCAGTCTCACTTCCCGCCCGGCCACTGTTACACTTATGTGCAGAGAGTTGCTGCCCAGCTGTCCCATGCAGCCAGGCAGATGCAGAGGTCCAGGCTGGGCTGGACTGGGCTGGGCCAGGAACGCCGTGCCATGTCTCTGCAGGTAGGCGATGGCACTGGGAGGGGTAGCTGTGGTGGGGCTTGGGCTAAGATGAATTTGGGGGGGCTATAGCCCACAAAGGCATGGCATAGTGCAGTGTGGTGCTCCTGACCTGGCTGGCCTGGCCCGGCCCCAACTGCCTGCCTCTCCCCACCTCCCCAGTAGGGCACAGCCCACCCAGCCCGGTTTGGCCCCCTCCCCCCAAGATGCGGTGCCAGCTGGCCCATCCCCCTCCCCCAGGTGTGGCACGGCTCTCCTTCCCCCAGCCCCATTGGTGGAGGAGAGGCCCTGCTTCCAGCTCCCAGGGAAGCGAATGTGAAAGCCACAGGTTTAAACTAGGTGTGAAAAATGGGTGCTGAGTTTAAACCTACGGCTTTCACTTCCCCGCTGATGAGGATCCCGGGGCCTGAATTGGTAGGAGCCCCTAGGCTCGTGACCAGCTTGCCAATTCATTAATCTGCTTACGCTAGGCCTTAGCTTCCCCATCTGTAAAATGGAAGGTAATAAAGCTACACTACTTCAGAGGGGCATGAAGAGGGGGTAACAGACTTTGGATGTTGTGAGAGGCTGTTGGTAGAGCTGGGAATGAACAGCTCCCCTCAGACAAATGTCAACAGAAAAGAAAATTTAGTATGCTTTTTTATGTGATTTTCTTCATGCTGTCATTGCAAAACCGTACTTTTTTGCTTTAAAACTAAAAGAAAATTCTATTTGTTGATAAAACCCACACATTTTCTAACCAAACCCGAATAATTTCAGTGTCAGCTTCCATTTTATCGAAAGGCCATTTTCTACTGAAAACATTTACAAGGAAGTTTTCTAACCAGTTCAGGCTGCTTGTGGTTTGTGGTTCTACTCAGGGTGACTGCCTATATCCTGGTCCCTTAGGTTTTCTGATGCATCTTCTCCTGAGTCTCTGACTCTAATTGCCCCCCTTGCTTCCCTGATCTTGTCTGTTCCTGATCCCTGGGTTGCGAAACCTCCAGGGTCAAGACCCGATAGCTTACGTCCCTTTGTACCCCTGACAGTGAAGGCATATCTGAGCCCTCGCTTGGTTCTCGTGCATGAACTGATAACACCACATCGATGGCTCTACTCACTGTTGCAAGGCCTCTCCAACAGCTGCACACTTTTGCAGTTGGGCATCAGTTTGTTGCTGGGCAGTTTTCACCTCTTCCTCCTCATTTATTACTTTAGGCAGTTGGGCCCCTTCTGTGGGAGGGGAAGGAAGCAATTCAAGTCAGGATACCACAGCAGCAGCCCTGACTCCATGCAGACAGTTTTGATGCGGCTGCCACCACATGGCAAAACCCAGACTTTGGCATATATATCAAAATAAAGGGGTATAGGTTTAGCTAATGCTCCCTTATTTCTGCTTGGCTTGATTAAGTGGTTTCTCCTTAAGCTGCTCCCACTCCTCTGATCTGGGGTATAGGAGGCTTCCTTCCCCACTGAAGTCTTTTAATTGCTGTCCCTTGTTATTTAAGTTGTGCTTGGAGGAAATAGCCTACAGAAGAGGAAGAAAGTAACAAAAGAGGAAGAACGGCATTTAAAGAAATTACAGGAGACCCTGGGCCCAGCAAACTGCTTTCACTCTCACTGCAGTTTCACATCTACCTCCTGTTCCAGAGCGGACTCCAGCTGTCCTTGCTTTGAGTATTTGTAAGCAGTCCCTTTTTCTCTGTTGCCCTCTCATGATATTTGGCAGATGGGTACCTCCAGAGTATTGTCTGATGCCATCACCCTCTTACTGTGTTTCTCTCTCTCCCTTGTCCCTTTTTGCTTCTCTGATATTTTCCCCTTAAATTTGATTGATTTCTATTTCCATATTCCACTGTGCTGTATGTTTATGCCTTTCTCTTTCCAGTGGTGGTAGCTGCCTGGGGGGCTGTCTCCCCATTCTCTGCTGCACAGCAGGGTTCATAATTGGCTCTGGAAGACTGGACCAGTGCCTCTCTGAGCCATGGGAGCAGAGAACAGAGGGCTGGGTGGGCACTTTGCTTCCTACCATGGTTCTGTCCATACATCAGGGTGAGGGGCTCTTGAAAGAACAGGGGGGTAAGCCAGGTGGCTACAAAGAACAGGTCATGCCTTCAGCAGTTTTAGGAGCATGTATTCTCAGCTGGCATGGATGGGCCTCCCTTGCTGCTCTTCTCCATTCCCTCTCTGGTTTGTACCTTAAGCAACCAAATGTGTGATTCCAGTCACAGATACAGTTACTTTGATCAGCATGCCAGAGACTACTCCTGTTTGCTGCAATCACTGGTTGCAGGTGTCAGCATGGGCTTTTAGGTAAAACAATTCCCAGAGAAGTCAGAGCTTTAGGACAAAAGAATTGGTACCTGTGGCTTGGAGAAGAGGGGCTCTGAGATGCAGTAGGAGGCAAATCAGTAGACAAGAGTCCATCCCGGTGATGCTCCAAATGCAGCACAGATCCTACAAGACACATCCAGGATCTACTTAATTGATACATTACCATTGCTTTTAAACTTCAGACAGCCCAAGACAACAGGAAGTACAGCCATTGCCATATGCACTGAAAATAAATTAAACCAAATCCATTGAAGTCCCATGTTAGGACACTTTTAAAAGCATCTGATGAAGTGGGTGTGTCACAGCAGCCAGCATTTTAACAACAATTAGTGATTTAATGGGCCAAATGAGACATGTGGGAACACAGACTTGGAAGACACCTCCTGGAACAGTGAGTCTAGTCCAAGGCTGTGGCAGGCATTTCTAGCATATATGTCATTCACAGACTGGTCAAGTTCCATCTTAATGCTAGTTAGCTCGTGTCCTAGGATCTCCTTCCTCTCAAAAAAGTCTGCTTTCAGCAAGTGGATGTTCAACACAACCTGGCATTCAGTCTCTTTTACAATGTCTCTAAAGTACCTAAATCAGTAGTCACTCTTCAAAATGTAGGCCAGCATTTGCCCAGAGCTAAGATAGTGTGTGTGAACTCAGGTGAAGAAGTGAGCATTGAGGAAGGTTTCAGTAAGGAGAGGGGAGCTGCCAGGCTGACCAAGGAAAGGAGCAAGTTATGAGAGCAGTGGGAGAAAAAGCTGATGGAGGCCTGGATGAGTGGAGGAGGGAAATATTTCTGGTCAGGCTGGTGATGACAGTGCAGGAGTGAGACAGAAGCAGGTGCAGCATCAGATTCAATACTGTTCAGATCAAAAATTCAAATAGCACTGCAGTACTAGAGGTCATAGATAGCAAAGTTTACCAGTGGGGCTCCTGCAGCTGGGACTAGCAATCAGGTGTCTAAATTAGCAAATGCTGGTTTTGTGATTCAGATAACTTGATTTTATGGTGCCAGACTTCAGTTCTTAGATTTAGTGCAGACTTCCTGTGTGTGACCGTGGCACACAGTTAACCTCCATGTGCCTTGATCCCTGGTTTGTATAATGGAGAGGTGACACGGCCTATATCTGCCTTATTCATTATGGCTGTAAAATCTTTCAATCCCTTGCACCTGAAGGAAACTAAGTTCACCAAGAGCAACAAAATCTCTTTCCAGTTCCTCAGCTTTATTTATGCTGCAGGCTCTAAAATTGCCTTGTGCTTTTGCAGTACAGAGGTATAGGTTGTAGCCATGTTGGTCTAAGTACACAGGCAGACAAAGTTCTTTGGGTAAATCTGTTATCTTTTATTAGACCAACTCAAATAGTTGGAAAAATTCTTCTTTGCAAGCTTTCGCATATAAATATCCTTCATCAGGCTGAGAAAGCATCTGCAGTTGGTGTGTGCTCTTCACTGACTGGCTCTTGCAATGCAGCACACATGTCACAAGCAGCCATCAAGTGGTGCAGGTGTTTGGTGCACAGTTTGAATGTTAAAGTTTGCTCTGAGTTGGAAAAGTGCAGCTGCTATCCCAGTACAGTGTGCGGCTTTACCACACAAACCTACAAGAGGTAGGTCTGTTGGTAAGGTGGAAGAGACTCACAAGAATAAAAATAAGAAGAAACATGATTAAAAATCTCTGCTTGCTGTTCTGCTTCTTGGGTTAGCTGTTAATAAGGTTTATGTACAGAAAACAGTTTTTCTACACTTGTCTACTTTTACTGATGGTAGAAATGTGGTCTTATCACTGCATTCAGTGATGAATTTTTACATGTTGATTTTCACTATATCATTGCTGCTATAGGATGCTGGATCAATGCCCTAGAGGGTGAGACTTCTACAAAGCCAGGTTATAATTTGTTGGAACCCCAAACTAGGCTCCAGCAAAGAGAAGAACCTCTTCCTTTCTTCCTTTTCCAATACTTGTGCTGTGGAGGTGTGTGACACAGGTCTCACTCACTCGCTGGTAAATTACAGTGAACAATATAAAGTAAATAAGAAGAGGACTTATTTGCATATTTCCAGTGTCTGGTATGCAAATAAGCCTTCTTCTTATTTGCTTTACATTGCTTACCATAACTGGCCAGTGAGCAAATGAGAACTGAGTCAAAATTGAAGAATAATTTTCATATATCTGGTAGCACTGAATCTAGTTTTCTAGGCCCAATGTTGCCAAGTCTGTTTATAATAAGTAGAATTTGGCTTGGGTTTTTTTAAAGTTGTTTTTTGTGGGGGGGGGGGGGGGGGGGGCTGTGGATTGAGGTTTTTCAGGCTTGTTTTATTTTGAAGTGGTTTATTTTGGGTGATAGGGTAGGGCTGGGGTTTCCTAGCAACACTGGCACAGTGGGGAACTGTTCCAGGGCTGGGCTGGGATTACAGTGGTGTTGGTGTGGTCTTGAGCTGGGCCAGAGCTGTGATCTGCAGCTTGCATGCCCTCAGTGCGGGCTACAAAGACTGGGGATTTGCTGCAAGGATTTTGTCCCAAGCTGGGATATGCTTCAGCAGTTCAACATGGGAATATATCTGATGGCAACAGAGACCACTGAGGGTAGAGAGTATGAAGATGAACTTTTTAAATAATGTAAATACACATACATTTATTTTAATATTTTTATGTGTAATTTAATATTATATGCAGCAAAACTAGAACTACTAAAAAAATATGGAATTTGAACAAGTATCCCCATTCCCCTCTCTTTGAAATGGGTTGGGCTTGTTTCGGGCTTGTTTTTAAAGGCAGTGCCACTTTTTTTTCTTGTGAGACTTGGCAATATTGCCTGGGCCTCGCTGGCCTGTATGTTAATCTGCCTATGTGCTGTTTTTAACTTGCTGACAAATTTCTATGGCTACATCTACACATGTGTTTTACTGCAGAGTATACTAATTAGCCACAGAATAAAGCCTCATTGTCTACACTGTCTACAGAGGCAGTACTATTTTATGGCGGAGTAATTTACTGTGATTTAAATACACATGTAGACGATGAGCACAGGTGTAAATTGTACCCAGTCAGCCCAGCCAGGTC